ATTCATATTGCATTTTGTCATATGAAATGATTAAATCCACTTGTCGCGTTTTCTGTCTGTATAGTGAAAACCATCCCTGACATATTATAATTGAAGATTTTATGAGGGCATGTTGCCCGAAATGAATCCTGATTATATGAAGAAAAGTCATAAGACATAACGTTAACATTACAATGCCTTCAAATTTGGCTCAAATATCAGCTGTTTAAAATGATCATCCTTAAAGTGTTTTAGATTCGTCCATTTACAGGTGAATAGCACACCTTAGTGATCACTAAACAATTTATATTTTATATGCAGCCAACATTAACATGAGCAATTAATAAAGTTTAAAAGGGTATCGTCTTTGTTCGATTTATATCCGACTGTAAGTTTTCAAATTCTTCTCGACTATCGTCTCCATCATTTAGACGCATGACTCTTTCCACATATATCGGAGCGGTATGATGATCAAGACCGATTTCCTTTGTTTGCTTTATTGACTTCCCGGGCGACAATTGATGGTTACATCAATGTTTTCTTGTGTTATTCTTTCTACACTGTATTTTGATTCCTAAAAATCACTTGCTACAAGCTCCCTTTCTTTCTCTATTTGCCCCGCCTTGTGCGTGATTTTTTTTTTTTTACAAATTTTATCAAGTCTATTAAGTCAAGGGTCATATCACAAGCATGATTTAATACCTGATATCATAACGAGGCAGGTAGCATAGTTGTTAGCGCGTTAGTCTCAATTCCAAAGCAGTATGATTCGTCGGATTTTTATTGCTTAGGGTTCTTCTTCAGGACCAGGGTTAGGGTTAGGCTTCTTCAATAATGAGAAGTTAATTTAAATACTGAATTCAGAAATTCAATATGATTTCTTAACACTTTACAACTTAAAAAATTGTTATGCCAGATGAACTGAATCCTCACGTCATACAAATATTACGTTACCATTTCCCCGCAGACACTTTCTAGCAGGGTACAAATTTCTCTAAAGTTTAGCATAAATAATTTCATGACGCATCATTTTAATCAGAAAATATTTTTTCTTATTTTATGAGATTACGCAAGTATGAAATAGTTAGAATTTGGCAAAAAATTGAAGATTTAATTAACTCTTTAAAGTGCGTGAAAATGCGTGATTGCGGGGAAACGGTAAATGCGTGATTTTGCGTCAGAAATAGGAAATGGTATATGCGTTAAAATGCGTGACTGCGGGGAAGGGGATAAATATCTGACGCTATAGGCATTCTGACCAACTTGTTCCCCCATCCTCTTTTATAATCTCAATTTTGGAGTACGAGTATGAGTTTGTGGTACGGAGTTTGAGTTTGAGTACGAATTTGAAAAATTTTTTTTTACAGAGATAAGAAATGGAGACATCAGGCAATATTATTAAGAGGCCACAAACGTAAGTAAGCATTGATTTTACAATTTCATTAAAAATTGACATACATGTAGGTGTACGACAACAGTAGCAAAGGGGTTGTACAGCTCCCAGATATGAAATTCCCATAATCCTCTGCAAATACATCTACAAAACAGAACTTTTGAGATTCTGTTTGAAAAAAAAATCTATAACGCTGTACTGATGATGTGAAATTTACACCGAACGAAGTACACCTTATCCAAAAATAAAACTACTGTACATTAGTCTGTTTTAAATTTTAGATGACCAATATTGTTACGTATTTACAATTTTTCACTGGGATCGTACCTGGTTAATTCCAGGGTTTGGGGCGTTCAACATAAACTGATTTAAAATAATTGGTATGAACATAGTGGACTGCCGAAATATACATGTACGTCCTTACCTAATCTAGGTAAACAATAATCGAATGATGAATCACTAAAACAATGGGAGGCAAGCAACAATAAATTATATGGTAGACCTATTAATATAAATACTAAAACGCAAGCCCGTCGCCCTCGGACTACCGCATATACTGTAGGATGCCTTATTCAGGACGTACAGTATATGTGATAGCCCTTCAACCACTACACTCATTGTAAGATGCGATGCCTTATTTAGGACGGACAATGAGTATAGCAGCCTGGACTGACTGGTCAGCCAATACAGACAAGACACAAGAATCTATGGGGCTAGCCTCTTTGTTGGAGGTCAACCAAGTTTGTGGCAGGCCTTAACTGGGTTGGCCTTCCAAATCCTCTCTCTAACTGTAAAACAGGCAAGGGATATAACACTCAAACTCTTATTTCACGCCACTCGTCTTCTATCCCTGACTGCATCCGACGATCTCCCACTGATCACTGCGGAGTCTATTTATACAAAATAAATGTCACGTGATGAACAGAGACTAATTGAGAACTCCACATGGTCAAACCTGAAAATTCCGAAATCATTACAATATCGCTTTTAATTGTCGTATTTTAACAGCATCAGCTTCACCCTAAATTACCCTGTTGTTTTATTTTTCTGCAATAGATTTAGGCATTATGAATGCAAGACCTCAAATTAGTTTTGAAAATGAACACTATTATAATGTTAACATTTTATTATGTTAGTTTTTAAATCTACGAGTGTTGCGCCATGGGTCACGGTGTTGATGAGGATATATAAACGGCCGTATGACCCTCCGCTTCATCCTTTATGATATGGCTACCTGCAAAGTTTCTTAGCTGCTAAGTTCATGTTTTTTTCCGTACATGTAATATGTAGGAGGACACGTACATGGATCCCCCTTTTTTTAACATGAAAAAAGTCTTTCTTGAGCTATCAAAAATTAAATAAGTTATACATTACTTTGGAAAAATTACCAGCAAATGTATAAACTGACAGCATTGTACAATTGTTTCGGACAGATATAGACTTGTTTACTTTTTAACATATGTATTATGCATATATATTTTTGTTTTGTTCTATCGTTCAATTTTTTTTTTCGAAAAAGTCACAGACGTGACGTCATGTCTTTGAAGCGTTATTTTGAGGTTATGTCGTTTATATCACGGAGATCTATTTTCGGTTGACGCAACTCAATTAAACAAAACCTTAATATGGTCACCTTGAAGGTGACATGAAGGTCACATTCTCAACCCCTCTCTCTGCTTATTGATAGTTATACATCTTAGCTTATCACTTACCCAAGGTGCCCGTAGATGGTCCCCCGATAAAGAGTCTGTAGTTGTCAGATTCATCAGAAACAGAAAACCGATGATAAAGTTCGTATAACGTGGTACCATTTTTTAATGTAATGGAGACGTAGAGGGCTGAACTCCTTGCCTTTGTCAGTTCACGAATCACATCATTTCCTTCAATATATTATAGTCCCAGTATTAGCAAAAAAAACATGATAAAGAATATAAGACTTTATCTATTAAATAAATAGCTATATCATGTAGAGAATAATTACCTATCCAGTAAGAGTCAGCTGGATTCCCAAAACCTTTTTTATACTCCGCCCACGTCCTGTTAAATCCCACAGTTCCACTCACGCGTTTCTGAATTGCCTAATGATTATACGAGGTGTAATCAAAAAGTTCTCGAACTATCTCTACACAATAACATCTCAGATCAGAATTAAATTTGGCAGTCACACACATGTCCTATAAATAGCATATGTAATGAAATGTTTTGTTCTACGTTTGAGGTGTCATATTGTGAGAATGACGTCAGTAAGAAGATCACTCGTGACAAAAACGGTTGACTATATATCATTGTTTATATGGAAAATATTCAATTAGTTTGCGAACTTTTTGATCAACAGTTTTGATTGGAAGAATAATGATAATAATTCTTGGGAGGCTTTGGAACCAAGTATTGATTGTCAAGAACCAGGGTGTTTCATCGTTTGAAATTTTACAGTGTTGCAGAGTTTAAACAAAGCACTATCAAATTTGCAACTAAATCACTTTTAATTGTGAATACCAAAGAAGACATGCACACATTTGTAAAATCCCAAATACGTTACATAAATGGTATGGCCATTCATATTGCTAAAAGTAAGAAGACATGTTCTGAAAAGCAGAGGAGATTCTGGTAGATACAGACAAACTACTTACCATTCTTAAAGTAAATTTGCGGTGATTTTTTTTCAGTTTTCTGGATCGAATTATCGAATTGCAAAGGAAAGAAAAATAAACTTCCGAGTAGTTAAATACTCTTCAGAGTTCCTTTACAATTTAAAACAATTTATTTACATTAAATTCAATGATTATGGTGCAATGTATTTGATTTACAGTGCCAAATGAATTCTTTGTGTTAAGTGACACATTTTTATTTCATTGCAACTACCAATTAACCGTTACATGGAAGTTTGAAAACAAAGTACATGTATATGTCGTTGCTTCTTCCTTAATGCAAAACGTCCGGCAAGGGTCTAGGAAATAATTGATTATGCAAGGCAAAGCCCTAATTAAGTGCTCTAGATACCTTTAGGAATTAAGAGACGGTAGAATTGTTTAAATAATTATGTTTCAGATAGAGAGAATTATATGTTACGATTTTCTGATTGTAACAAATCTTCCTGTGTCGGCAAAATTTGTATTGTGTCGCACGCATAAAATTCGAATCGTTGTCATGTTGGATATAATTCTACTGTGTCGGAAGCAACACTATATCATGGGTCATTGAGAAGCCTGTGATGTCGAAGCTTGTTTGTCTATTAAATAATCCGCTTTGGATTTTCCTCCATTCTTAGGATTTTTGAATTTTAGCTAACACTTGCCCAGCGTTTTGCTTTTCGTGTTGTGGTACATGTTTAGTATCTGGTGTGTCTCTGTAATGGCCATTGTTTTCTGTCAAATACTTTTTTGGAGTATGTTGCAGGTCCTTCCACTGTCCACTTGAAATTTAACATACTGTCTGTTGACTGAAAAAGTGGCAAATACCTTGTTTGCAGTAGCTTGGGTAATTACATTAACTGACTCATTGTTGTTTTTTTAGATCAACACTATACATTGTAACTAGAAAAGTAAGCATCCGAGTCTTATTCGGCAATTTCGGTGATTTGATGGACCGTTGACTTGGCGGAATTGAAGGTATTTTCAAAGTGAAGAAGTCAGTGTTCTGGTCCCGCTTGTGCCTCTTGTCCGTTGCTGTTGTTTTTGTGGCTGTTTCTTGAAAATCTTCTTGCATGCACAGATATCCCTGTTGCCTGTGGTTGAATTGTCCTTGTTCTGCTCCTTGGAGACTTCAGTGGCTCTGCACACATGGACACATGGACGCATTTCTCCAAGTCTGTCTGCCACACGTAGAAGCCTTTCTCGTCACCTAGACTCACTTACCCCAAAAACAATTCGATCTCTTATCAAGTAACATGTGTCAGCCAAAGTTCTAATTTCTATTGAGAATTTGTCAGATGTGTCACCTGTTTGCTGATTTCTGCTGTAGAATGTGTATTTCTACTGTTTAATTCTTCTTAGGGTCACAATGTTTGTCAACGAAAATAAATTTCACTGCTATATTATACATGTATTTTTCTCTTCGACATTTATTTTGTTTCCTTGCTCGTCTGTCGTTTGAAATTGCATTATATTGTTAATTCCCCTCTCGTTGCGTCCAAGAAGGTACAGCAAGAGTTTCACTTTTTGTGCCTCTGGCCTTTAATTAGTCCATGCTAATATATATGTAAGGTAAAACTTCTTCCTTCCATTTGATCCAGGTCGGAGAAAGATGTTTAGCGTCAAAATCCATTATTTGGGGTAAATGAATTACGTTTTCCATTGTTGTCGATTTTTGCGCGCACTCGAACAATAACACATAAAAGTATCAATTTGTCTCTAATTGTGGCTGGATACACAATATTTTCAATCTCCGTGCTCACTAATAATTGTCCAAAACTTCTGAAACCATGTTTCAATAGGCTGCTGCAGCCTTGTGTAATCGAAAAGTAAGTATCAACTAGACAAAGTTTATTAGAACAAGAAAACAAGCATGGTGTTAATTGTAAAATATGACTTAAACAACAAACCCGTGAAAATATTGTTACAGAAACGATGTGTGATATGTCCTTAATGAATATAAGATAAGAAAATCCGTCAATCCGAAATCAGTCTTCTCTGTTTTTTCTTAAACATAAGGTTTGTATTTTTTTTATAACTATGAATTCATTGGGGTAAAACTCTTCGATTTTCTTTCAATAAGTTAATTGATTTTGACAATTAAAAAAAATCTGAATATTTAATGTTTTGCATATTGCTGATTTTTTTTGTTTTAGTCACATATCTTTATTAATTCAGAATCCGACTTTATCAAACTGAGAGAGAGAAAGAGAGAGAGAGAGAGAGAGAGAGATATCTTACCGTCCACCCTCCGCCCTCTGTCTCCGTATCACAGAAAACTGTTACTAGACTGCTGTTTCCGAAGGGATCTATGAGATAAACGCCAGACTCTTTGTGACCGTGTACATAATAATCCTGACAATCTGTATGAAGTTTTAAACCTGAATGTCAAAAAATATATTCATGATATTGTAATAATCATATCAATGAATAAATTTATCATATTTGAGAGAGAAAGATAGTTGGATGTGAGAGAGATTTACCTCTCTTGACCATTTCGACATCTTCATGGATCTTGCCTGTATTTTCCTCAAGTCTCTTCACCATCTGCCTCAGGGAATCTACAGATTTTTGGATCCTCTCTTGTTGGAGCAGAAGTTCTCGGATTTGTACCATAGTTTTTCCACTACTGGTACAGCGATCGCTTTCTTTCACGTATAGGTACTGGGAGCTTGTACATAAGAATCCACATATGAAGAATGCTGCCCAAATCATTGCTATGGTTTAGCGTTGCGTGAATATGTCCACAGCTTTTTATCCTCTAAACAGGGAAGTTAAAAAAAGATATGGAGATAACGAACAGTATGAAATAGTTCATGTTTTTTCCGTAATGCATTTTTTTGTGCAAAGGATAAAAAGTTAAAAAGTCAGATAAGATAACAAAGAATTGTTAGCCTAATAACATTATGAAAAGATCGCACTGTCCACACCATTTTTTTTAAACGTACATTTTAAAAAAAACTACAAAAATGGAAAAAATATATTTGAAAAGCGGGTGGTACGAGTCAGTTTTTGATTTGTATTTAAATCCAATCATATTGCAATTTCCTATATATGCTTTAGACCTCCCCCCTCTCTCTCTTGACACACAAACACGTACACAAAAGAAAATAAATTTCCTTTCCTTTTTTGTTTACAATTATATGGAAGACACGTACTTTCTGGTCAAAAAACAAACAAACAAACAAAATAAAACCCTATTGATGTCCATCGTCTCAAGCCATATAGCTCTCTCCTACCTGTGGCTGCTTGATCACAAAAAGTTTCGTAATCTTGAATATTTACGCCTCTCTATTGTGACGTCATATTCAATCAGTGGCAAGTTTTGTTTTCATCGCAATCAACAACTGACGTCAACAGTATACAAGAAATATTTCCTATACTGCGATTGGACATTGAAAGGTCGCGATAAAGTTCATCATCCGACAATGCTTTACTCGCATCGGTCAATCTTTAAATGAGCTTCGAAGAATTCTCTCATCTTTCAACCACGGCCAGAATGGGAGGGTCGTACATTTTTGCCGTGGTTTGCGACGATGATGGATGCCATGTGCTTGAAGATATCTATTTAGTACGTCTTGTGGTCTACATTCTGAATACAACTGATAATGTAGAAACATGATATTTGCATCACATTTCTTCATTTTTAAAGTTGTCAATGGATTATTTTTTTTAAAAAAATCGAATTCTGTGAGAGTGTTTAGAACTCAGAGAAATAATTCATTACTTTATAGTACGGTTTGAAAACACTGAAACAATGAGGAAGATTATAGATTGTAGGAGTGGTTTGCTCAAGCACTGCAAAATTAGTCAAAAATTGTACTTTTATCTTGCAGGGGAGTAAACTATTCTCTTGACTTTTGATTCCTTCCTCATCTCATTCTGTACTTACAAGACGTTCCCAATGTAATAATATACTTTTCCCTCTCGTGAAATAGCTATTAACGCTTCATTAAAGATCAACTCAAAGTTTTTGTAAATTTTGGTTTTTGCTTGATATAACCTTAAGGAATACTAATTGTAAAGGGTAGCGTATTTGACCATGTCTACTTAAATTGAATCAGAGTTAATATTGGTTAATTGACTTTTCAAATAAGCTGATCACCCGTTCGAGTAGGTAGAATAACCCACCTGCCAGGCCTTATCCTGACGGAATCAGTTGTAGAGAGAAGAAGGAAAGCTGAAGAATAATATGGAGATAACGAACAGTATTCAATATCAAAGTCCATAAAACAATACAAAATAGGAGTAGAGCAAACATGGACCTCCGAAACATAAGAGATCATGTGCCATGGAGGAATGAACATCCCCTGCTGACCGGTCACACCCGCCGTGTACTCCTTGTCATGATCGGTGAAAAAAAGGAAAAATCCATCGTCAATTCAGTGTATAGACTAACAATAAGAATGAAAAACGTCAGTCAGCATTTGACTTGATGATAAATTTTTAATGCTTTCAGGTTCGTTGTATCAAATTTAGAACTTCTGAAATAATCAGTTAAAACGGACTGCTGATATACTTGTTTCATCAACTTGCTTGTCAATAATTTGCCTCTTTTTAGATATTGTACATAGGTAGAGCATGCTACTGCGTATCGAATCAACAGAGATATATACACTCCGTATGCAGGTGATGAAAATATAATGTATAAATAGGGGAAGTTGGCGATAGAAAAGTTAAAATCATCATGTTTATAATAATGCTTGGTTGTAAGATTATGTTTTTCCTCTTTTTCAAGGAAAATATCAAATTATGAAACAAATTTGTCATATCATGTGATATCTTTAATCTCAAGCTCTCCAGTATATATCGTATCGACTTAAGAATGTGAATTACCTTGTTACTTGATAATACGTCGTAAATTTATCTAAATATTGAGTTGAAGGCCACAGCAAGAATTTTCTTTTTCTTTACATGCATAAGATTTTGTTTAAGTTCTGCTTCATATGAATATAAAATAGATATGCCAATACCGGAATGCAATTGGTACCCATGGGAATTCCAATATATTGTTGATTGATTGAGAATTTTTCACTCATATGGAGACGTCACAGTATGCCAGTGAAGGGCTTCAAATTTTGACCTTTAATCGGCACTCACGGCCATTGAGCAGTAAGGGATCTTTATCGTGCCAACACCTGCCCCTGTCACGGGGCCTCGGTTTTAAGGTCTCCCGCAACTTTTACTTCAAAGTTCCGAGCGTATGGCGAAGGAACAGTTGCTACCCATTTTATCGACTGGGTCAGTCGCCTCGGCCGAACGCACGACATCCCGGTCACGGAGCAAGCGCTCTACCGACTGAGGCGCCGTAAACGGTAATATATTGTTGAGTTTACCCGTCAAATACCACAAAGATATTGTCAATCAGAAACCCAAGCATCTTTTTTATGTCAACTTCGGAATACTTGTGTGTGCAATCGGAATGTGTTTTAACAAACTTTTTTGCAAATGACCATTGATCAGGTAAGTAAATTTAAGATAACGATAACAGTTTTCAATCTCAAAGTCCTTTTAAACAATAGCAAAAAGAAATCATTCAAAACATTATCAGGATTAAAAAAACGGTTTTGCGACCATCCTATTTTAATATCCCTAAAGATGTTAAAAATGATATCTTATTTCTTAAAAAAAATAATTTCTTTTGATAACTTAGTGGATATAATGTTTATAAAGGTGGGGAGAGTGTTTGTAAATTATGGTGACATTATAACTATGAGAGTATAATCTTACATATACATTATCTTTAAATGTTAAACAAAAAGGTGAATATGATGAAGGACAAAAAAATTATTTTAAAAGAAATATATTTTGAAAATTAAAATAACAACGAAATTATTAAACTAGAATAACCCACATTTTTAACCACAATTTGAAGGTCTGTCTCTGACAACAAATGTATGAAGGAAAAAACGTTGTTAGATAATGAAGTCTGAAAGGAAGGAAAACAAATGAAAATATTAAAAATCATTTGATAAATCGTAATTTTCTGACACCCGTGAAGTCGCGGAAGAAAACGAAGATAGATAAAAAATGCAGTCAATTGAAACGTTATAAATTTAAGGAAATAGAATACTATTTGACCTCAGGTTCCAGACATTTTTTAAGGTTTACATTAATTTTAGTATATTTATAAAACCATAACACATAGGGCCTAAAGGAATTTATTTAAATTAAAGTTTGGTACATAAGATTTGATCTAATTACATTTATGCATGCACAAGCACAAATAAAACTAGATTCATGCATCGCCAATTTTCAAAAATGTATTTCACTAAATAGGAATATAAAACAAGAACTGTGTAGAGTACGTTTTTATGCGATAAGTAAAATTCGATGTTCTAAAAAAAAGAAACTTTTTTTTATAGTTCATGTTGAGCAACTTTATTCATTAAAAATAAAAAAATATATACATTTTTAGGTCACCTGAGTAAACTCAGGTGATCTATTGCTATCCGTTTTCGTCCGTCATCGTGCGTCATCCGTCGTGCGTGAACATTTGAACATTTTCAGCTTCTTCTCTGCAACCACTGAACAAATTTCAACCAAATTTGGCACAAAGCATCTATGGGTGAAGGGGAACAAAAATTGTGAATTTCATGATCCCTGCCCCCCTGGGGCCTGAGAGGTGGGGCCAAAACCACTAAAATAAATGCAATCTTTAAAAATCTTCTTCTTTACTCCTGGACATCAAGCAGTCAAACTGTTTGCATGATTGTAATCAGCAATGAGTCCTCTACCAAAATTTTGAAATTCATGGCCCTTGGGTCAGGGGTTTTAGTGCTAGGGCGGGGCTAAATAAGTAGGTAGTAAAAATGCATTATTTCTTTGAAAATCTTCTTCTCTGCTCCTGGGTTTTAAATAAACCAACTAAGTACATAGTTATGATGAGCAAGTAGGCCTCTACCAAAATTGTTAATTTTATGGCCCCAGGGTCAGGGATTCTTGTTTTAGGGTGGGGCTCTAATTATTATATAGTGAAATGCATGAATTTTTGGAACATCTTATCCTTTGCTCCTGGTTAATATACTAATGATCTAATTACATATTTAAGGCCAGGATTTATTTTTTTCAGTTTTACAAATCCTCCGCTCAAGGTTTTAAATTTTCAGAAAAAAATAAAACAATTTTTTTTCTCTCCGATATCAAATTTGAGTCGGGATCGAGATTTCAAATTTACGAACTCGCACTTCCGGTTTTAAGATGAAACGGCGGGTAAATAAAGCTAGATCTGAGAAGATAGCTTGGTTTAGTGTAAAATTCATCGATAAGAGTGCCATTCAAAACGTTTCACCCGTTCAAAGGACAAATAAAATGCTGACGACTTTGTTGCACAATGACATGCTGGTGAGATAATTATGTATTCGTTTCAAAAGTAACTGTAAATTATTTTCCTCCCCCAGGTTTTAAACTGCCCGTGGTCGCTATTGCATATTGCCAGGGACATTGTTTAGGTCTCTGTTATAGCTTACAGTCTAAGCATCATTCTTCAGAAAAGGGTTGCTTATGCATCAGATGTAATGAATAAAACTATGGGAGAAGTGAAGTCCATTTGAGGAAGAAACAACCTGAAGAAATAAAAAAAATCAACTATTAAAAGGCAAGAATATACAAATATATACAGGCATGTAGTATCATTTGTATCAGTCAGAAAAAATATTTTACTCTTAATTGAAAAAATGTTGACCCTACTCCCTAATACTCCCTGTCTGTTTTAT